CAGTCCTTGTGCTGTAGGAATTTTGCCTGAATAAGGACTACAAGGAAAGGATCTATGTCCATTTGCATCCTGCTGCATTTTACGTAGCTTTAAAAATTCCTTGGATACTTTGGATCGGAGAGGCTACACAGACAGAGAACATTGTTGTTCTACTAGAGCTTGGCTAGAAGCTATGCTGCACCTCTCAAAATCTCAATGAACTCTTGCAGTCCTTTATCCAAAATACCTGTCTAGTCTCCAGGGATCAAAAGTTCTTCTGGAGTAAATTAACGTCACTGGAACTGATCCAGCTTACAGCAGTGGACAATTTGGTTACACATTTCTGTTGGACGGAGCTTACTCCGGCTGTGTAATTATTCAGCTCAAGACCAGAAGTTCGGCATCTCAGATTCCAGTTTGGTTAGTGATTTTTAATTCCTTAAGAAAATTCTAAGTGAGCCTGAGAGCAGCACTAGGTGCTAATTCATTCTGCTTATGCGTATTTCATGACAGAGAAGTAAAATGGGGAGGGGTGGGCAGTTCTAGAATTAACCTTATATGAACAGGAAAAACTAATAGTTCTTTTTTTTCTGTCTTCAGGTGACAGAAGAAGTTCAGCGGATATTAAAAAGGTGCAGTTATGAATTCATGTGCAGGGGTAAAGTGAGTGTAAAGGGAAAAGGTGAAATGTTGACCTATTTCCTGGAAGGAAAGGCCGATGGAAATAATTCACAAACACAGTCTTTAAACTTAGAGCGGAAAATGTACCCTTATGGGAGAGCAAACATTCAAACAAAACTGGGCACCAGCTGTCCGTCTGTATCCTCAGTTGCTAGCTTTACTGTAAAAGCTGGGCTTGGAGCAGGTCAAGCGTCTGCCACTCACACAAATCAAACACTGCATTATCTTCCTTCTGTGCCAGCTGTGAAGGAGGCGTAGAGCAAAGGAGATTTGGTTGTGCCATTTGCAGTGAACTTGGAGAGCAATGGTTGCCTGAATTTTTACCAAGAGATCAGAGGTCATAGGCCATGGCATTAACCAAGGACCACTACAACCCAACCAAAGAGAACTTGGGGACTGTGTAACGAACTCTTGGGATGGAACATATAAGGGCTAGCAATTCTGTTAGAAAAAGTCAAAACCTGATTTTCTGGAAATGAGGAATATTTTCTTGGCATTTTTAAAGGGTAAATGAAAAACAATGAGATAAACGTGCAAGCAATTATTTATGTGTGTGTGTATATATATGTTTTAATTTATATATGCACATATACAAACAGTTCTGTGTAGACTAAATAGAGATTTATAGAGATAAACATAAAAATATGTATTTATTTACACATCCACCTGCAATGACATAGCAAAGAGATTTCTCTTTCTGTCATAGCCAGCATTGTTGGGTCTGGGATTAGCAAAGCTGCATTTAACCGTGGAGTGTGGGGCAGCTGGAGGCTTTCCAGGGCAAGAGTTAGAGAAACTGTGCTCCCAGTGCATGAGTTAAAGCAATGAGAACAGTGTTCTTTGTGCTGTCAATGGCAGATTAATGAAGGCTGGATTCAGCTAATTGCTAAACCCTATGTATTTTTTAAAATTCTCCTTGCATGCTCGAAAAACTTCAAAAAAATTCCAATTCAAACCGTAACACTAGGATGTGAAGTAGATAAACCACAGAGCTTAAAGGTTTGGCAGAAGAACAATATATATTCTTTCCATTAAAAAAAAAAAAGGGTGGTAGAGTTCAGAAGTTGCTGCCTCTTCACAGGTCGTTTGACTGTGCAAGACAGAGGAGCACCCTGCAAGCACAGCAATTTGCTTATGCAATATAGAAACATTCCTTTATGTACAGTGCTGATTTTATTGAAGAGCAGAAGGATGGTATTATTTCAGGCTTTTACAAACAGCACAGGTCCTGTGGATCAGTTCCAGGATTTAGCTTTACCTTTCTAAACAGCTCAAAGAATAGTCCTGTACTGGTGACAAACATGCCGTTGCCAGCTTTTTGACGTTTGTATGTTTGCCAACATAGTCTTATGTCTTAATTGATTTTTAAATTTATGCCACAGTTTTATTATATCTTGATTCTACCCAGGCTCACTCTTCAAAGCTGTACAATTATAGAAAGCTATAATTCTGAGAAACAAGCACAGTCAAACTTTGCCCAAATGAGGAGCACACTGGTAAACATGCCAGGAGAGTGAGGCCTGCTCTTAATCTGCATAAAAGGGAACATATTTTGACTGCTTTTTCCTTCAATGCAGCCCACGTCCTATTGTTCATGGTTTCATCTTGAAACGCTGATCTGGATGTCAAATGTGGAGTACAGCTCCGTACTTGAGGTGGGGGCAGTTGAAGGTCATCCTGCTGAGTGACATGTGCACCATGGACAGGTACTATAGTGTCCTGATGGGGATGCACAAGCTAACCAGCCTCACTGCTTTCCAAAAGAGAAGCAAAATTTTATGTTGTCTAAAAACATACAAAACTTCCTTTTAACTAAAAAAAAAACCACAACAACAAAACCCACAACAAAACAAAACAAACAAACAAACAAACAAAAAACCCACACCCAAAAAACTCACCCAAGACTGCAGAAGTTGTCCAGATTGTACAGTAGAAAACTTGCTTGTACTAGATGTCCAATTTCCCTTTGGTGGGGCTATTTTATTACTGATTTCAGTGGAAAGAATATTCTGAGTGATTCTCCTGCAATCAGCATTTGCTTTGGAGCAGTCACTGTTTGTGTTAAAAGTATATGGACAAATACTGTGTCAACAGATGCAAATGGTTAAAGAAATGCTGCAGGAGTTTCTGTTCTCCATGTAGCCATATCAGGCTGCTGTGGGACTCCAGTGGTTTTCAGCAGGGTTTTTAATTAATTTTTATGTACCCTGTCAGCTAGGTGCTTCATTACAAAGCTAGCAAAATTAGTGTTGTGATTAAAGTGACTATAAAAAACTGAGAATTGCTTCCTAACTGTACTAGGTGTATGCACCCTGGCTGATCTGTGGAAAGTCACGCCATTTCTTTATCTCCCTAACAGCTATCCAGTTCACAGGTATCCTTCTAGAATAATTTAATTCTGATTTTGAGGTATTCAAAGCCATTTAAATAAATACATGTAGAGAATACAGATTTAAAAGAACAAATATTTACATAATTAAACTGAGTAAGTGGTATCCATGTAAAGCACACATGTAAAGCATATTTATGTTTTCTAATAGATTTGTAAGAACTAAATCATCACACAGGTAAGTTAAATATTTAACCAAAATGGAAAGTATTATGTGCAATAGCATTAATCACGCAGTTCCACTCACAAAAAGCCCAAGTTACACAATTTTTGAATCAGTGAATTTGGTATCATTTCACCCATAATAATAAAACATTGTTTTTACATGTACCGTTATTAAAAGCATCTTCAGATCCTAGCAGTAGATCTGTTAGTACATGAATACACAGACCAAATACAGCCATTGACCCACCCCAAAAGCTTACAATGAAATTATTTCTTTGTTACTTTTTTAATAGGTCCAAGATATAGGCATATTGCCATTGTTTCTTTTATCACTAAATGGACAGTGAGCAGAAACAAATTGTCCCCTGTGCTAAGATTTTTGGGACTGTTCTCATTCCCAGACTCATTCCCAGCCTAGTCCTGGAGTAATGTCAGTGGAAGATCATGTAGCAAGGTAAATTTGTTTTTTTAAATTTTAAAAGATTAGCAGGTGCTAGTAGAATTACTCCAAAGTTTTTCGAAGCCTGAGCCTCCTCTCCAAGAGTCAAATGAGGCGCGTGACTTTTGTAAGAATGTTTTCCATGTTGAATGGGAAGGACCAGCCATGCATAGTCCATCATCAGCTTCTTATTCGTCCCTTTTGCAGGAGGTCTGTGCCTCCGGAGCAGGTTGAGTGGACCAGGATGGCTTCTTGGTGCTGCACCCAGTCCAGTGTGCGTGTGCTAGCTTACAGCATCAATGATGGAGTCATTTTCCAAACTTTGTTTGAGTCCTACGATTAACATTTTTCGTATTTTTGTTGTGGTTGTTGTTGCTGGTTTTATTATGGAGAAAACTATATTTTTCTATGTAGTCCTGGACTGAGCAGTACAGAATCATGAACAAAGTTCAGCCAAGGCACAAATTAGTAAAAAGCCATGTGAAAATGACAGGCAGTGTTCAGCAGCCATTCCAACAGGGAAAACTAAATGCCCGTTGAAATCATAATACAATGAAGGTGTGCTCTTGCCTTTATGCTTTCCCTCCCTATTCTTATCATTTTTCCCCATTTTCCGTGTACATTTGCTTTATTTCAGCTCTTTTGTGATAGATTTAAAGGACAGATTTAATCTCTCTGCTCTTCTGCGTTCTTTGATGTGTTCAGTAAGTTTTATACATGGAAAGAGGTGGTGGTAATACTTCCAATAACCCCACAAATGCACATTTTCTGCCAAATTAGAGAAGCTTGTCATCAAATTTTTATTGGCAATTGGCTGAAGATAATATGCGGCCCACTCCAATATCCCTGAAAATCATCAGAAGAATTTCCTTGGATTTCTGTGGGATTTGGGTTGTGTCCACCTTAACGCATGCAGTTTATTTCCTATCTTGCATTTATTAATTTTCTGGTCAAGCTCTGTAACTTTTGCCTGTAGCCCCAGCAAGGAGTCAATTCTGCCCCACAGTACCCAAAAAGTCCCTGACGTTTAACCAAGGATAGTAACTTGTTGCATTGTGGGCAGAATAGCCTCCTGCATTTCTGTTCACTGTTTTGTGCAGCTGTTAGCTTGAAACAATTAACAGATACGAGCCCTACAACAAAGTGATGCCATTTTGGCATGTCAATGTCTGTCAATAGCAAGCACAATATTTTACATCAGTTTGCACGTTTTCTCTTTCAGATAATAGTAATAATCGAAGTCTTTCATTCTTTGTATAAGGAGATAAGTATCAGAGATCTTCGGACTTCACTGTCTTGGGAGCTAATTTCAAAGTGTTCCTATGCTACCTTTATCTTTAAATGATTTTTTAATTATTCTCTGCTGAGATTACAAACTGACATTCAATTGAATTACTGGCTAGATATTTCCAAACATTTTCCATTTGCATTGACTAGAAAGCTATTTTATCCGGCCTGTAAAATGCGTTGTTTTTTGTAGCTGCTCCCTGCTGTGGCAAGTCACGCTCCCTTGTCTTTGCTAAAACACACGCAAATTCTCCCTTGCTTTCTCTAGGTGAGACTGAGAGCCAAAAGCTTCAGCTCGTTAGGGCTGAATCTGCATCCCTTATGCACCCACAAGGCCTGCAGAAATCACCGGGAGTTTAGCATGCTTATGAAGGTCAGGAGCTGAGCTTCTGTAGGCCAAATTCTGCTTTGGGTTACAGCGATGTCTCGCGTCGGTACTGAACTGAGTATTTTACAACACTGTAACCGAGAGTAGGTCACGCGCCTAAATCTCTTTCACACTTTTGCCTGTAATTTATCTGTAAGGCAAAAGAAAGTACTTGGGAGTCACTGTTTGAAGGGAAACAGTATATGACCTGTGCCATTTCAGTGCTTTGAGGAGTCTGAACACATTAGTAAGTAGCGTGAATCATTTTCATGTGTTGAATTCCTGCTTGTAGCAGAAACAAAGCATTTTCTTTACATCAACAAGTCCAGATTCTGTATGTGTTCTGCCCAGGCAGGATGACTATTTAGCCATAATGTTCTTTCAAGTTAGAGTTTTGTATTACAGTGAAAACCAACATTTTTTAATTTGTGATAAACCTGTATTATAATGCCTTATTTATTTTTAATCTTGTACAGTGTTACAAAACAACAGAAAACATTGGCCTTTCATGTATTATTCACTTTAAAAGATGTATTGTATTATGAAATTTTGTAAATAATTTTAGCTCAGACAGGTAATTGCATGTACACTTGTATAAAAAGAGGCAAAAAGGCACACTTTTAACAAATGTTAATGATTTTTGTAAGAGACATTTTACATGTGCATGGAGATTATAAATCCTTTGGAAATAGATGTCCTTTTGCTTTTCCTTGCAATCTATTGCATGCCACTCATGCCTGACTTCAGTAAAACAAAACAAAACAGTAAGTTTTCCTAAATGTTTTTGACATATCACTTCTGGCACAGAATTAAATCCACTAGTTGCATGTGCGTTCAGCAAAGCAAAATCAAAATGCAAACAGCAAATAAAGAAGAAAAATAATTTAATGA